GCCACAGGTTCTTCTATGAGGTTGATGCCAACGTCGTATATCAACAAGTTGATAATGAAAAGTCCAAATTTTGGATGTTCCAACATCCAGTTCCGAATATGGAATGGACAGTTCACCGTTGGGAATTTGGAGATGAGACCTACCTGGACGCCAGCATTCTCCACAACTCTGTGCCACTGGACCCTTACTCCCCCAGATCTTGCACCTCTGTTTAACCAAACTCTGGAAGCGGCGAGTTTTGGATTTGACTCTATTCAACAAGCGTGAGACAGTGGTCAATGGTAGTGGTTTCACAGCAGGCATTCCTGCTAGTCCACTACCACCCACACCAACAACATTTGAGGATTTTCTTGCGACTTTGGAGCCTTGGGAGACAGCTCTTTATGATGAGCTTGAATGGATGGTAGACGCTTACTCCGTCCTGCAGGTTGTCACAGCCATGCCATTCTGGGTTGCGAGTGATGGGGCTGCAGACATTGATGCTGGAAAGGCGAGTTTTGCTTGGGTTCTGGCCGACAATCGCGGTCAGATTGTGCTTCGATTTTTACTTTCAAAGCTCACAAGCACCGATGACACGATTAAATGTATCTCGGTCAATTCTTGGCGTTAGAAGCTCCCAAGGATAGCCAGACCACTGTCGTCGTGTTCCGCAACTTCCTCTGTATTGGTCTCCTTAGCTATCTCGAACGGTTCGATCAGTAGCTTGAACACCGTTGGTGGCCTCTTGCTCGAGTGATTTGCGATCGAAAATCCCGCGCGATGACGTAATCGGCTTCAACTCAATGAATAAGAGCTGGATTTCCTCGCGGTCAATAGAGATCTTGTTCAATTCACCGTGCTTGATTCACTGGTACCCTTGGATGTCCGTAGTTCCGGCCGGAAACTGGAGGAGGATCGACAATGCGATTATCAGTCGTGTGTTCTTGTGACGTTTCGTCTGTTAGAGGTGTTTCGTATCCTTTATAGTGTGGCTGTGTGCAGTATTTGCGCACCTCTCCTCTGTTGCTATAGTTACTCAATAATAGTCTTGATTGACTTTCGATCAACTTGGTATCAATCTCGAGGTGTTGATCTCTTCGAACTCGAGATGAGACTTTTGCTTTTCAGTGTTGTTTGCTAGTAATACTGCAGCTTATTGGGGAGTAATTTGGTTTTAGATTAAGCTGAAAAGCAAAAGTGAGGATTTTCTGGTGGTGCTCAGCAATTCTTGTGATTGAATTGGATATAAGGACCCCCGTAAGACTTTAGACCTAAAACTCCCTCGGTTCCTTGCATTATGAATATGTATGCGAACCGGACTAGATGTTTAATACACGAGTCAATAGTAAAGAGGTGTCAGGTATATTTCCTCCAACAACAGGGCAGAGGCTTATGGCATCCTTTTCCCTACTTGCCTTCTGCGGAGACTACTGGAGTTCTATGACCGAACCAGCATGAAAGATTATGTGCACTTGTGCGACAACGAATCCGTTACCAACAAGTGTGCTGGCTGTCTTGACTACGAGGGCTGGTATCCGAATGACTCCTTGGACTTCGATTTGGATGTCTTACAGCAGATCGAGGATTTGTTTCGAGCTGCCGTTACAGAGCCCAAGATGGAGCACATCAAATCGCACCAAGACAAGCACAGGGCAATCGACACACTGCCTTTGAAGGCTCAACTGAACTGCAGAGCCGACAAACTGGCAGGGAGCTACATGACCCGACACATGACAGAGGATCATTCCAAAGTGCTCCGATTCCCAGCCAACCTAGCCCAGCTGCATCTCCCGAAAGGAACATGCACCTACAAACTACCACGAACGCTGCGGCACTTGAGCAACGACCAGCCGTTGTTTGATCATATTGTCAAACTTAACCCAGATTGGGACGAAGACACACCGGCACTGGTTGATTGGACTGCTCATGGTCGTGCTGTCAACCGTCATGAAATCCACAAACCCACAATTGTGAAGTTTCTCTTTCAACTGCTGCCAGTGGGGAAACGGGTACATCGAGATGATCCGAAATATGATCATCACTGCCCACGTTGCGGTTGTGATCATGAGACTGAGACACATGTCTACAGGTGCCCCCACGTTGATGTGGATCTTTGGAGGGGTCAAATGGAGCAAGCGATCAGTACCAAGCTTCAAAAGGATTCCACCGATCCATTTCTTTTGGAAATTGTTCTTGATGGCCTCCAATATCACTTTGAAGACAGGTTCCTCCATCCGTGGCATTATCCGGAACGGTACCGTGACCTGGTGGACGCCCAAAATATCATTGGCTGGGACAACTTCCTGAGAGGACGATTGTCCCATTTCTGGGCCAAGCACCAGGATGCATATTTGCATCGGGTCGGTTCCAAGGAGACTACAAAAATCGGACAGCTGTGGGTCACCAATCTGGCCTCTGTTCTGATCCAACAATGGTGGAATCTCTGGGAAGATCGCAATGCCACTAGGCACGGCCGAGATCAAGAACAGATATGGCGCAAGAAACACGAACAGCTCCAATGAGAGGTGGAGCTCCTGTATGAAAAAGCGGATCTGCTCCCAGAGCATCTCTTTGATACCATCTTCAAATGACCCCTTGAAGAACAAATGGCCAAAGGGCCGGGGGATATCAAGGCATGGCTGGCCAATTGGCTTCCAGTTGTTGACAAAGCAATGAGGGACGAGCATGCACGTGAGCAGCTTTCCCAAGCAGGGGAACTATGCACCGATGTGGGATTCCCATAGCAATAGCGGGCGATTTAGCCTGGCCTAGATAGTTAGTCGTACAGCGCCCTCCGGAGTTTTGTTCAATTTCTCCGGTGGGGGGCTTACACTAGGCCCATTCGTGAGTGCTAAACTCATGGTAGTCGCAGCCACCACTTGCCGTCTCCTTTGGAAGGATTGTTGCGATGGGACTTGTATTTCTTGGAGTTCTTGTTTGAGGCAACCGACTTGGTTTCAGGCCCTTTTTCGAAGTCTTCGGAGGATTTCATGCGTTCGCAGAATGCAATGAGTTCTCCTAGAGCTGCGGCGAAAGGATCGAAAGCATGTTCGTCCATCTTCTTCATTCAGGATTTAGGAATCCAGTAGCAGACAATGTCAATAATTTCATCATGACTGAGTTTTTGCGTGTCTCCACGATGAGGTGGCAAGCGAGTAACCTCTTCATCATTGATACGAAGGAGGTTGTTGACATAAGCACGAGTTCTCATGTCATGAGGCTTACGCATCTTACGACGCATAAAACGCTTCTGTTTCTCGAGAGCCTTGTCGATGACAGAGTTCATCCCGTAGAGGACATCATCGAGATGCAAATCTGGAGCGGCTACTCCATTCCAAGCTGTGTCGACACGGGCTTGGTACTGTTGTGGCGTTTCTCCGCCTGCGCGAGCAGCAATGGCGTTGACTGCTTGTTGGCGTTGCCCAGTATGGCGTGCAGAAATGCTTCCACGAACATTAGTCTCGTAGGCACTCTTGGCAGAACCCGTAGTCATCTCGCAAAGGAGATTGTGGCGTTCCGCGGCATTGGCAAGAGCAAGTCCATTGAAGAACTTTTTCCATGCGTTCAGCCCACTTGATTACCTGTCGAGGGGTTGACGACCCATCGATGATGGCAACCTTGAAGGTGTACTTGGCACTATCAGGATCCGCTGGAACAGTGCATAGTTTGTAGGTGGTAGCTCGAGCATCGTCGATCTCGAGTTCTTCTTCGATGATGAGAGGAAGAACAGGTTTTTCGCGCAACTGTTTGTCATAGTTGGCGTACGCAGGTTTGCTCTGAGCGATCTTCATCGTGAGCAATGGTTTGGATAGGTGGAAGGTAGCTGAAAGCTATTGTGTTTGTTAACAAAATGCACTATGCTAAAAGCTAGTGTTAAGATCTTTCGAGTTTGTTGAGTTTGAGTAGAATGAAGTTATGAGAGAATTAGAAGCTATGAAAACTAATCAACGAGAGAGATCATCATCAAGGGATCGTAGATCTGAACTCCCGCGGGAGACTGTAAAGTGTGATAGCGTAGGTTGTGGTAACAATCCTACGTACTCCACGATCCAAAAATGGAACGCGTGGAAGTTCGTCTAGCATGGATCTATAGCGTGGAAGCTCTCCAGCTGGCTAAATATTAGCGATGTTTCATCATCGACCTAGTATGACTAGAGCCGTCATTGAGAACCCTGTCTCAATAATTATTATTCACGAGAGACTCAGTCATGAGTCGAACTCAAACCCTATCTAGGATCGAGTCGCGAATAAGGCTAAGAGCCGTGAATTGCACTCCCAACAAATGTTGGAGCATGGGGCTACAACATCCCGGGAGGAACCTACGATCGCCATCTCCTCCCGGCTCAAGCGCCCCAACACTTCAATGAGATTCTTCTCCATGAAGAACCTACTTTAGTCCTCGCCCCCCTGCCCTTGCCTACACTCGGGCATCGGTAACTTCTCCCGCTATGCTCCCTCCCTGTTCTGCCTTTGGCTTTTTGGGTTGCACAACTGAAGGCTGTTCTGTGGAACATCATATTCCTGGGACTCCCTTCGCTGTGTGGGATCCATCCGGGATGGTACCCCGGGGAATGGAGACGGTCGGCTCAGTAAATGGCCGAGTTTCTCCACTCGCCTAATCCTCTACTAGTCGTGTCTAGCGGCTCTGGGCGAGCGCAGCTTGTCTGCGCTCACATGGGAGTCCTTATCCTCTTATCCTCTACCATGGCCTCGAAGCTCTCTTTGATTTGTTTTTGTAGCTTTCTAATCTTCTTTTAACTTTCATTATCTCAAACTCAAAACGCTCGAAACATCTTTACGCTTGCTAGTGCACTATCATCAGCCAACGAATTCACTGTCATCATTCCTGTATCAAGGCTGCTGTTGAGAAAGTAAAGCTCACATATGGCACTTTCTTGCTCGCAAAGGCAGAAAAGGAAACTTGTTTCAACAGGGAGCAAAAGCCAAAGGATTACTGTGGACTCTAAGTGGATGTTCTTAATATAGAGTAAACTATCTAGAAATAAGAAATTAGAAGGAGGTACGGAAAAGAGACAGGTGGTTGTGCCTATATAATTCGAAGTTAAACATATGGTTTGTTGATTGCGCAAGCCCACAGTTGTGTCTCTGTTGCGGTTTCCTTGCCTTCTTCGTTCGGACCTCTGCTTGCTGTTAATTAGCTCTTACCTCGGCTGTGGTCATTTGGAACCAAACTAGTTCGGACTGGGAGCTTGGCTTGGAGCCTTGCTGGGAATCAAGCTGGGAATTTGACTTGGAGAACCACTGGGATTGCCAGTTGGGGATTTGCTTGGGGCAGAACTGGGTATGGTACTGGGTCTATGACTTGGTCCTCCAGAAGGAACATTGCTTGGAGCCTTGCTGGGAATCAAGCTGGGAATTTGACTTGGAGATTCACTGGGATTGCCACTTGGGGATTTACTTGGGGCAGAACTGGGTATGGTACTGGGTCTACGACTTGGTCCTCCAGAAGGAACATTGCTTGGAGCCTTGCTGGGAATCAAGCTGGGAATTTGACTTGGAGGTCCACTGGGATTGCCACTTGGGGATTTACTTGGGGCAGAACTGGGTATGGTACTGGGTCTATGACTTGGTCTATGACTTGGTCCTCCAGAAGGAACATTGCTTGGAGCCTTGCTGGGAAGCAAGCTGGGAATTTGACTTGGAGATCCACTGGGAACTGGGCAAACATGACACAAAGGAGACCAAGTTACCCCATCGGACTGTATTGTTGGGTCTCCTTGCTCTGTGCAGCCGCTTCCTGAAAAGGTGCTATTCCACCCTGACCCCTTGCCACCCCAAGCACACAAATTTTGGTTGAATGATGTTGCAGTTCTGAAGGTTTGCAACATGCTTGTAACTCTGCTTACATCCCAACTTGAGATGTCCCGGTTGAAAGCTGTTGCAGACTGGAACATCCCAAACATGTTGTTGACCTTTGACACATCCCAGCCACTGATGTCTTGGTTGAAGGCATCGTTCCCTTGGAACATTTTCGCCATTCCCAAAACTTTTGCCACATCCCAACCAGAAATATCTTGATTGAAGGAGTCGGCATCGCTGAACATGTCCCGAACCCACCTTACTTTGCTCACCGTCCAGCCACCAATATCTTGATTAAACCTGGTAGCTCCATTGAACATCCATCGTATATTTGTAACTGATCTGAGATCCCATCCGCCAATGTTTTGATCGAAGGTGGCTGCACCAAAGAACATGCCTTGCATGGAAGTAGCTGAACCTGTATCCCACGAAGAAATGTCTTGGTTGAAGTATGTAGCACCCCTGAACATTCTATACATGCTCGTGATTCTGCTAACATCCCATCCAGTGATGTTATGAGAGAAAGATTGCATGTCATCACCCATAAATAGTCTGCCAAAGGACATTTCTTCAAAGCACCAACTGTGGATGGGACCATACGTAGCTTGAGCAGTTGGAATATCCAGTAGAGCTGCATCAACACTAGGTCGATCTGTGAAACATGTAGCTGTTGGAGCACTGCTTGGAAAGGAACTTGGAGTAGAGCTAGTGGGATTCTCACTTGGAGCTGCACTTGGTGCCGTACTGGGAGATTCACTTGGGAGTTTGAGGCTAGGACTGGAACTGGGCAGGGTGCTGGGCTGGGTGCTGGGCACAAGTGATGGGACTGGGCTAGGGTCGGTGGAGGGTGAAAGGGATGGGATAACACTTGGGGACCCGGAAGGATTATTGGAAGGCGTTAAACTTGGAGAGGCCGATGGGCAAAGTGAAGAGCCTTGAAAACATGCCTCCATATTGGCATTCCGGACGATGGCATTGAATGCATCAGACAAAGGCCCGACAAAATCATTGCTGTAGAATGCAGCCAGGGATACTAGGTTAGCACTCGCCAGGAACACCAAATCCTCACTCACAGCTGCTCCCTGGAGGCTACGCCGTTGTGAAGTCCTGCTTTGGACAGTGACAGCCAGCACTTCCACCGAACATGTGGATTCGACTGACTTTGATGCATTCAAGAAGGCATTGGCGAAGTAAACGTTATGTTTGGAAGTACTATCTCCTGAAAGCGTTACTATCATCGTGGCCTCCATGTTTTGAAGTGGTTCAGTGCATGCTGACATGGCAGTGGGAGAGAAGGATGGGAGCGTTTGGGTTGGATCGAATGATGGCTGGCCAGTTGGAACAGCTGTTGGTTCAACAGTTGGTTCTTCTGTTGGCGCTGGAGTCGGCTCATCTGTTGGTTCCGGGGTTGGTTCCGGGGTTGGTTCTGGGGTTGGTTCCTCTGTTGGTGGCGATGTTGGGGGAGGTGTATTTGGGATTGCTGTAAGATTGACGCTAACAGTGGCCACGTTGGGTGTTGGCCCCATTGTGGCATTATGTCGTGGAGTTACAGTTATCATTGACTCAGGGACAGATGTGGGAGGAGAAACCATAGAGGGTGCTGGATAGGTTGCGTTGATGGGATCTTCCAGGAACTCCTCAATCTCAATGACAGGAATGACAATGATGGGCAATGGAGCAGCTGTTGGAATGGCAGCACCAGCAGTATCTTCTGTGGCCTGAGCTTGTTCCTCTTGTGCTTCGACAAGTGCCATGTTGTACTCTGTGAGGAAGACCACAGATCTGCTAGTGTTCTGCTCTTCCCCTGGATCTTTCCCAATTGGACACAAACACACGTCAAGAGCCTGCTGAAGGTGTCTGCTTCCTCTTGACGGAACATGAAACTGCAAGAAAGGATCACGGGCTTTAAGAAGAGGGATTTCATCTTCTTGCATAAGAGAACGGCGGAATGCAGCATCAAACAATGAGAAACCCCCCGTATCAGTAACAGGGCAGTTTCTGCATCTCCCAGTAACCTCAAACAGCACTCTTCCTTTGTTTCTAGTCGTGTTGGATGAGATATCTGTTTCGTTACCACTCTGCAATCGTCGGCTGGATATTTTGTCGGAGACCACCAGACCGACCTTGGATACAACCCGAAAGAACTCATCACATGCCTCAAATGACACAGTGTTGTAGGTTTCCTCAAACACTTTCTCCAATGTCTCAATGGTGCTGTTCGGAAGCGTTGAAGGATCTATGCCGATATCAGCATATACAAAGGACTTGAACTGCACAAGTTCTCCATCACAGAGGACTGGCTGTCCTTCCACAACATTTCCAGCCGTTGTCTGCACTGATTCTGCTTCGCCATCATCATCCAGGTCTTCGATTTCATCATTGAATGCCACCGCAAAGTTTTCTGTTGTGGGTCCTGAACCAATCTGTGGCTCTTCCCCAGCAGGGCAAATACAAGAATCGTTGGTGCCAACTTGTTGTTGCTGCTGCTGCTGAAGCTTCCTGAACAACTCTGTGTTAATTGACGATGATATCGGGTGCCCGTTCTTCCTTGCAATAAGGTTTCTTCGCCGTCGGAAAACATCATCGAAAAGGTTGAACGTGCCAGTGTCTGTGACTGGACAATCTCTGCATGTACCTGTGACGGAGAATAAAATGGGAACGATCTCTTGTCGAACTCGTTGGGGTGCTGGTGTCCCAGTAGAATTCATGGTGCTGTTGGTGCTATTGAAGCCACCAGAGCTGTTTGTTATGATAGCCTGTTGTAGATCTCTTTCTAGCAAGACATTCTCTAATCTTCGAGCAGCTCCCACAAGATCATTCACTCGAGTGCTGGCTGTTGGGATGACCTGCAGTTCCACTTTTGCTATGCTCCTGAAATGGCCATCGCATGTCACATAAGAAAGCCTGTTGTAGGAATTTCGGAAACTCCGCTCAAGGGACCTGGCCTCTTCAATGGTGAAAGAAGTAATATTGACGCGGAGGTCCGAGAAAACTGCCGATTTGAAGCTCAGCAAACTAGTTCCACAGTCCACTTTTTGTCCTTCTTCAACATTCTCTGCCACTTCCACAGCTTCCACTACCCCGGCTTCTTGTAACTCCTCCAATTCCACATTGTAGGAGTCAAGAAAGTCAGCCTGCGAGAGGGTGGGAGCTTCCTCTGCCTCCTCAGCGATCTCTTCAGTTTCGGTGGGACAAATGCAGATATCGTTCTGTTGCAGCCACCGGTTGCCCTGCATCATGCTGTCAAACTCCAGCAACGACTGCTTTCCCTTGATTTTATCAGCCAAATCCCTTTTTTGGCTTTTGCTACCTCCAAAACGATATGGTGATCGAATTTGGCCCCAGTCATCGAGCAACACTCTTGCCCTCCTACGAAAGGCATCATCAAAGAGGTTGAAGCTACCCGTATCAGTAACAGGACAATTTCGGCATTGGCCAGTCACAGTGAAAGCGGCATTCCCCACCTCAGACCGAATATCTGTGGGAGCTAGGGACGGAGCTGATGACGGACTGGTGGTTGTTGCAGTCGTGTTTGTGAAAAGAGTCTCATTCGACCCCTGTTGCTGCAACCATCGTGAAGAGGACCCTTCTGGCTTTCGGTCTTCAAATTCCAGGTCCAAGGTGGCACTGACAACCGTTCGAAAGTAGGGGTCGCAGGAAAGGAAACTCAATTGATTGTAGGCTCGTATAAAGGTATCCTCGAGTGCTCTAACTTCCTTTGCAGATGGCACAGCGTTGTTGGCCACATTGACACTAACATAGGCAAAGGATGTAAAGCTCAGTTTTTCTTCCGAGCAGGGAATGATTTGTAACTCGGTGATGGTTTGTACCGTCAACGTGACACTCCACGGAGCGGTGACACTTCTCCATGCATCGTTCAAAATGGGAAGAAACTCCTTGAGCGAGAGACGATTGGAATTGGGTGTTGCTCCCGTTGGACACACACAGGAGGAAGAGGAGGATGATAGTTGCTTGTCGGCTGCCACTGGACTCGTCGTCGTCGCAGTACTGTCCTCGGCGGCAAGACTGCTATTGTTGCTGCTATTGGTGGAACTGCTAAAGTTGGCTGCAACGTGGCTCTGAAAGAGAGGCTCGGAGGAGGCGGTACAGTTGTAGCATTCGGCGGACACGGTCATGGTCAAGATGGATCCACTCCCCACCACTGTGTCGTCTTCGATGCTTTCCATGATGATGGATTGAATGGTTCGAAAATGAGGAATGTCACAGGATTGAAAGCTCTGTTCATTGAAGGTGTCTCGGAATGCGTCCAGCAGATCATTGACCAATTCTTCTTCTTCGTCGTCTAGAATCCAGGACAAGTCGTCTTCCACAATGGTCAGGATGAAATTACGAGACAACTCGGTGATTCCCGACGGATGGCATTGATATTCGTCCACTGCCACGAGCTGTTTGCTCGATGCACTGTTCACGGGAGTGGCCAGGAAGGATAGCAGCAGTAGTAGTAGAGTGGTGATTATCAAAAGCTTACTACATCTTCTTGGTAGACATATGATGCCGCTGTGAGATGCCATGGCTGGGAATCTTCTTGGGGGCAGGGTCTAAGATTGGTTCTTGCAACGGAAGTCGATAGGTTTTGGGGAACTGCTATCCAAAGAACAAATTTATAGTTGGAATGAATGAAGGAAGGCACGGTGGGGTTTTGTTCGGAATTTTTTAGAAGGCACCACGATAACCATTCACTCCACAGCGGGTACTACTATTAAAAATAGTACCGCACTGTAGTGCTCTGTTACAAGGTTGTAAAAGGCCATGATTCGCAATTATTGTCGGAGAAAGCTCAGAGAATCGATTCGATTCGATTCGGTCAGAGTCATTCTCAGACATTGTGTTCTTGGCGCAGCTGCTGTGGCCTTGTTCCAAGACTCCACTTCGTAGTGCTCTAATCCTTTTACTCCGGTAGGTACGGTATTCCTGGTACTACCATACTGTACGATTCCTAATAGTAGCATTCCATCACTCCTTCCATTGGCAACCAACCAATAATCAAAAATCTTGGATCCGGTTCTTCATTCTTCGTCATCATGTGAAGAAGGAATGAATCAAATCCAGTCATTCCAAACAGGAAGACTGCTATAGGCGGGTAGGTTGGGTAAGTGTAGGGTTGAAGATAACCTTTACTTGGCGATTTTGTTTAAAATAAAACGTGTACCTGGTACCGCATCTACCTGAACTCAAATGTATTCTTGTAGTGGAAGGTAGTCTACCCGCACGGTACTACGTTTCACGGTACCGAACCGAATCATATCATATCATATCATATCGATCGAATTCAATAAGCTATCATGTATCATGCCGGTACCTATTACAGTATCTACTGAGCTAGTAGCTCGAACAGCACTCAACAAGAGAGCAATTGGCACGAAGGTCCACAAGGAACCCGTCATTGTAGAGCTCGCAGAGCTCGGGCGGCAACGATCCTGTGATCATGGTGCCATCAATCCAGAATTCCGCCATGTTCTCCAATTGTCCAAACTCGGAAGGAATGATTCCAGTCAGTGCAGGAGTGTTGGAAAATACCAAGGCCGCCAGGGATTGGAGCTGGCCCAAGGTGGAAGGCAGCGTTCCTTCTAGATGGGTATGCTGCAGCCAAATCTCCGAAATTCGAGACAGCAGGCCGAGTTCACTGGGGATGGGGCCTGACAAAGATGTGTAGTCCAGAATGATAATATCCAGATTTGTCATGGACGCAAGCGACGATGGAAGCGTCCCGGTGATTTCATTCTCTCCCAGTCTCAACTCTGTCAAGCGCGTGAGCCGTGACATATCCGGTAGAGGACCTGTGAGGCCGGACCATTGGAGTACGAGGACTCGTACTTTTGGCAATTCATTGATTTGAGGAGGAATGCTTCCCGAGAAAAAGTTGTCGCCCATGGATAGTTTGTACAAGTTGGATTGGTTGTGAAAGAGTTCCGCGGGCAGCGTTCCGGTAAGGACGTTGGCTTCCAGCTCCACCGTGGTCAAGCCACTCAACAGACCCAACTCACTAGGAATCGGTCCAGTAATTTGATTGTCCTCGAGAAAGAGCTGTTTCAGATTGGAGAGACTGCCAATTTCTGTTGGCATTTGCTGTGCGATTTTGCAATGATGAAGACTGAAAAGCTGTAAATCGGGCATCAATCCAACTTCAGAAGGAATCGCCCCCGACAGTCCCGTACTTTCAAAAATAGCTTCTCCGAGTTTCTGCATGCCACCAATGTACGTGGGCAGTGTCCCATGGATGCCATGGTTCCACGAAAGATCCAAAACCTCCAATTCTGGCAAGAGCTGAAAGAGTTCGTTTGGTAGAGTTCCCACGGCATTGATGGGAGCCAGGACGAGGACTCGCACAACGCCGTCGTTCTGGGGACACGCCGTGCTGAAGTTTCCATTCGTTCCAGACCCCTCGTAGTAATCGATTCCTTCAATTTTCACATCAATGTCATAGTAAAGGCCCCAATGGCATTCATGCACTGAGTGATTTAACCATTGATGGTTGCTTGGCAAAGTCCACTGCTCTCCATTGGTAGCATAAAAGAATGTGGCCATGGCAAACCGCTGTTGTTGTCTTTGTGGAGTCAAGTTAGTAGTGTCATCTTGTAGCATCCACTGGTTGGCCCGTGCCTGCGGAGAAAAGGGGACACGAATGGCCTCGAGGGTATTGTTGGGCAGATTAGATTCAAATGGATCCTGCACGTCCCAGACGGGGCTGTCACTGTCAGTGCTGTCGCTGTTACTGCGACGAGTCACACCCACGGCCACTCCCACAGCCACCATCACGACGACACACAACATGGCCAAGACTTTCGGATGCGTGGCCAATTCTCGCCACTGGAATTCCATGGTTCTGGCTTCAAAAACGTCCGAATCGTCGGCTCCCACCAATCGAGCTTCGACCAAGAGATCCTCCTCGAGTGGATCGAGGATTCCTCCGGTGGAACTGTGGCCCGTTTGTTCGACGTCACGACAAGTCTCGTCCGATGATTCATCCATAATATTATGATTACTAGAGTCATCGCCGCCAATCCCCGCCATGGCCACGGCACCGGGAACCGACGCACGTAGACTGGAACGTTCTAGGCCAGGTGGGACGGCCGCCAGTGCAGCGCTTGTGGTCAGCGTCATGCGAGTGGTTGTTGGATGATTGGTGTTGATTCCTCCTTCTTCCACATCCCCCGTATCCGTGGTAGTGGTAGTTGTTCCAGTAGTAGCAGTGGCAGTGCTGACAATGGTGGTCGTTCCACTGGTGACTCCAGCCGTGGTTTGCGTCGTGGTAGTAGCGGCAACGGATACAGCCGTCTCATCGTCGTCTTCCGTCGCACCAGCGGGAACAATTCCAATCGACACAGTCTCTCGCATCGAGGCTCGCTTTGCCTCCAACAATACGGCTTCTGCCTCTTGATACTGATCATTCGCCTGGGCAACGGTAGTAGGAGGAGGAGGAGCCAAGGAAACAGTACGACGCATCACAGCGGCTCCCTTTTCGGTCATCAACGCCGTTTCCGCCTCGAGGGCTCGTTGGACACCGGCTGCCTCTACGGCTGGAACCGCTTTCTCTCGTTGCTTCTCATCAGCATCAGGCTTCGGGGAGAACTCTTGGGAGGTCATCGTCTTTCTTTATCTTATTTTATTTTAGTTATTACTCGACTCAAGCAGTGGTAAACTCTCAGGGATGAACAAACACAAAAACTGCTAATAGTAATAGTAAAGCAGAGGGGACTGTGTTTGGGAGTTGGGACGAAGGCGGCTCCAAGCTCCAAGCAGTTTAGATCTAGCTAGTACTAGCTAGTTTCTACGGGAGCCAAGTGGTTTTGTGATGAGGCCATTGCACATCGGGGTGGCCGGAAAGCTTTATTTTTGCTCAGGTGGTAGTCAACTGGTATTTAATTAAAAGTACCTGTACCGGACCTGACCAGTAGGTACATGTACCAGGTAATGATGACATGGTGACAATGTCATGGTGAATTGGCGATTGAAAATCTGCACTCTCATAAATCCATGGGAAAGCAGCGTTCTTCCTCGGAATGTCTTCTGTACGAGCAAACCGCACTCCTCAAAGAATGTCATCGGAGAACACCATACTGAGTAGGAAAATTAATTAATACTCATCAGTAGTCTCTTCTTCTTGCGTCCAGCAGCATCTTCACTCATTTGTGGCATATACTTTAGACTCAATAATAAGAAATCGTAAATTCGGATAGGAGTGGGGCTCCTACCCCCTCCAATCTTCTTTATCAACGCAACCCCACTACTAGTATCTTCAACAAAGAGCTCATGATTTGTGGTGAATTCAATCATGGCTCTGACCTCAGTGTACAAACCCTTAGATAGCTAACAGGCGTCGCACCCTCTCAGGAGGCCAGTGTGGCCGGTACGGTGAGCAGACTTGACTGTGGGAAATACCCAGGCCTCAGCTAGTGGGTTGTCCTCAAGCACATCTTGTCTGAATCCATTTTAAAATAGACATTCAGTTTTTTCATTTTCTCTCTAACAAGGCAAGCCAATTTCAGTACAGAAAACTTTCTTACTTTGTTTCTAGCTAGATCAAGCAGGTTAGTATTTGATACACCCAGTGCACTTGCTCAGCCAGGACTCGTAATTTGGTTTGAATCAAATAATAGAGATGGTGATCACTGTGTCTGTCCAGGCAGGAAATTTTGAAGATTTAGGCCCAGGATTGAAGCATTTCATGGAGCCAGACTAGACTAGTAGAGTAAAAGTCATTTTAAGACCGGGTGAAGATTAAGACCATGTAATTAATAGAGGTTCTTACGTAGGATCCTACGTAGCTTCGGTACCAGAGCAATAGAGGTGCTTCCTAAGTGTTCCGTAGGATCTTACAGGACTCTCCTATGTAGGATCCTACACAGTTAAGTACTGTAAAGTCTTAAACTGCCGAGAAAAAGAATTCGTCACAAAAGTGAGGATATTTTCAATCAACCATAACTCCACCAATAAGTACACTCTGATCTTGGGAATTTAATGGGATACTCAACAACATGTGCCCTTTCGATTCAGCTACTTAGAAGTACAATATTCGAGATCCACCTCTTAAGAGAATAATCCGGGGAAAGGTCGGTCGTAAATCGCATTTTACTCTAGTACTAATATCTTTGGGGTCTCAATAGTGTCAAGTCTGTGATAGTTCAATATCAAGAGATTCTTTCCTGTTTCCAAAATCTGAGTAGATGAATGCACTCACTTTCTTATTCCGAGTGACGAGTCTCTTAAATTCAAGTTTAGAGTGAAGTCAGAACTCGGACAGATTAAAAAATCAAACTGTGGGAAGAGGTACAGAGGTACTCTTGGAGCGAAATAATAGAGGTGGCCATGTCCACTGACAGCCCTTTTTACAGCGTGCTCGGATCTGCCCTTTGGTAAGGGGGACAGTGCTGTGAACGTGTGAACCACTGGGGGGGACCAGAGCAAACCATGACCAAGACAGTTGTTGACAGTGGTAAACCATTACACCGACTGATTCATTCGTACACAGGGCTATGGAGTAATCCATTCAATAAACATGCCAACCATGGTAAACCATCAAGATATTGGTTGACAGTGGTAAACCAATCACAGCTCCAATCACTATCTTTTTCGACAGCGGTAAACAGTGGTAAGACAGTGGTGGACATTGATGTACCTGGTGGTACCGGTACCACTTTACAGTGGTTATCAGGCCACTCTGGCGAGCTCGGAATTGGTAAGGTTCGAGGTAGTCGCGGGAGTCGAGGTGCGTTGCACGGTAAAAGTTCAGGTCACCCCTCAAGCGTTCCAGGTTTTCGCTCACGAACATTTTTGGCGTCAACGGAGCTACATTTGGCACTCTAGCTAGCCTACATCATCTCGTCTCTTCCACTTCTGGTTTGCTGATCTGATGAATGAAGCCCATGAAATGGCAACGCCAAGGCTCATCCGCTGCATCGTTCTAGCTTTCGCTGTTGTACTCTCTGCAGGTACCGCTACTGGTGCGAGTATTGCACACATTCAACATGGTGGCATCAATGCTTCTTCTGCAGTGACTTTCAAAGAGGAAGGACGTTGCCAACCTCTTGGCATTAACATGGAACACACCAACGTTGGTAAAATCTGCATGCATGTCGAGATCGATGATGTGCTCAACCATGGGGAGTCTCACGAGGCTGTCTTGGTCGTCTCCACTGAGACCGCCGACCACTGGATCCTAAAAGAGAACTTTATGTGGATTGGGAGTGACCGGGCTGATATACCAAAGATACAACACGGAGAAGTTCACCTCCTGTCAGAGAGATTTCCCCATTCGGATCGAAACATTCGCAGACCACACAAACACGAGTTCCGAATACCCTTGGAAGACGTCACCGCGGGCGCCATGTCGGTCCCATACTACGTCGCTCTGCACCCTATCATTGTACAAGGGGAAAGCAAACCGAAAACTCCCCGAACGGACAATTTACACTCGTCTTATCTCAGGCAGCCTTCTACCGCCGAAATGCGACAAAACGAAAACGACGAAATTATCAGCACCAACAAAGGCGGTATTTGGTTGACAGAGTTCATTCTCAATTTCATGCTTCCCGAGACGTCAGCCCCATCATCAAAAACCTTCAGTATTCCAGAACTCACCAATATGCAACAGGAACGACGACTGTACGAATTCAGTCGTCGGGAACCCAATGCTGCCTGTTTCTCAACGCCCAGTATGGACATTGGCAGAAGCATCGGAAATACTCCAACGAGCGACCTGTTTACAGAGGACTTTTTGTTCCAATTCCACATTGCCAGCGTCTTGGCATCCGGCGTTGTTTACGAAGCCAATCTGATGGAGAAGATTGACTACTACAAAACTCTCTATGAACGTTTTGCTGCCTTTGACGATGGTTTGAATGATGTGGCATTGGTGGCCAAAGTGGAAGACGTCTGTTACGGCGTTTTTCGCGGAACCGTGGAAAGCAATCTGGCCGACGTAGCACAGAACTTCATCTATGGCTTTCGGCAAGTTCCGGGCACAACATGCTACGTCCGACGAGGATACTACGATGCCTACTTCACGGACTACCAGGTTGACTTTGAGACGGAGTTGAAGGATTGTGTTGGCTCTTGCAACAATGGCAATGGTGGTTGTGAATTGATTCTAGCAGGTGCCTCCCAAGGCGGCGCGAACGCTGTTGTTGGCTCTATGCACCTGTACGAGAAGTACGATCCAATCGTTTTCACATTTGGAGCACCAAGAGTATTCCTTCCGACTTCTCCTTTTGAGGAGCACACTCCATGTACCAGCTTCAACAAGGAGAAACAATATCACTTTGTTTTGACGGACTCCTTCCTGAAAGCCTACGACCCAGTGCCGTCGTATTATGCCTACTGGACGAAGAATGTAGGCCGCGAGATCTTGTTTGACGGCGAAGGGAATTTCAATGACCAAGGCGTCGCGGAAACCTTTCTGTCACGACGAGCCCCCGGCAGCCAGGTGGTTCATTCTCGAACCAACTATCAAGTGAAAACAATCGAGGCCTACGAAAATGCTTGTTTGCCAACTCCAGTATCCGGCTGGGTTGACGGTCATTGGTGTTCCGAGGATAGCACTTGCCAACCATCCAGTTTTTGCTCGGATGACGGCTATTGCACACCACGATCAGAAGCAGGAAGCCCATGCGACAAGAATGCTGCGTGCTTGACCAACTTTTGTTCTTCCGTCGCTAAGGTGTGCCTAGTAGAACGATCGGGCAAGAGCTTGACGTCGAATGGAGCTTCCTGTTGGCGAAACCAGGACTGTACCTCGGGACGATGCGAAGGCTACATTGGATTCTCTCGGTGTCGTGCGCCCTTGGAAACTGGACAACCCTGCAACGAGCATTCCGATTGCCTGTCTAGCCATTGCGCAGGATTGCTCTTCGGGAGCTGCTTGTAAATCCCTCTGCGCGACTCTATAGACTCTTACATCCTGGCGCACATAGCTGGCGAAGTAAAACTCAAGGCTATGAAATTGGTGGGAGACACCAGTCTTGTAGCTAGAGGAATGATTCAATCACTCTGGATGCCCATACCTGCCACCATCCCTCAATGATACTGCATGTACTGGACCCGCTTACCTAGATGTATCAGTAGCAGCGGCAAAGCCAAACCTTCGGCCCCCTAATGGTCCTCAATTTATCAGCCCCTTATCCCACGGTTTCAGCCAGTCCTGAATTTGGACTCTTCGTTGCTTTTAAGCCTGGCCCTGGCTGGCTTCCATAGATATTCCACCTCCTCTAAACCCCCGTTCTCATCAGTAGCAGCTGTCGCTTGCAAGTCCTTACCAACGGGCATGCACTGAGATCATCTATCTGGATCTACATGTATCAAATCCAGGAACCAGGAAGGCAACAGCACTCGGGGAAGAATTAGGCCCCCCAGGGAGCCCTGCATCAAACATACAGGTACATGTACAGGTACATCATACCTACCGGCATGGCTCTGTTGGATCTTCCGTGTGCTTTCGATTCGCGATTGCTCTGAGGGCCTGAGGGTACACGTATGGTACTAGTTTGAGGGGGAACAGTCCTTTAGCCCAAGCTTTCTACGGTCTTGTACTGCACTTCAACAGTGGAGAGCATGCCATTCACGCATGCAACGAAATTGCCAGCGTTTTGGGAGCGGTATTAATAACTGCGACCGCACCAGAGCGCGAAGGGCCAACCAAGACTTCAAATCTGCACGGAAAATGGAGCTCTTCGTTGATGCGAACTGGGGTTATGTGCATTGGAATCATGCTCTTTTGAAGTATAGTACCGCTGGGTAAAAGCTCCAATCAGCGGACCACGAGAATCACCTTTCGAAACGAGAACGAATAAAACAGATCAACCACCAAAGCATCTTGTTGAAAAATGATCGAGCGAGTTTTTGGCAACTTCGGACTTCGGATAGCTCGTGCTCAGAAGTCTCACTTTTTCGAAAACTCACAGTTTTCGATACTGTTTTCGATAGGAGATCCCGCTTGTCAGTTTCAATTGCTTGATTGATTTCTTTGACGATGAACTTCCGCAAAGCTGTCCTTGCTGCTGTGGTTACTTTCGGCATCCCTGCTCTTGTGGATGGTAGGAGGAGAAGGAAACTTGCACTAGTTGATCACTGCTGCCCCAACGATGAGCATTTGCCACCGGAAAGGCAGTACTTCGGTGAATGCCAAGGCTGCCAAACAATTGAGCCAAACGCAAATCCATACGACTTGCTGGCAATCCGGAATGAGGCAGAATGTTTGGCCTACGAGTTCAATAATTATCCAGGCTCGGAATCACTCATCAACAACCCTGGTCCCTTTTATGGGAAAGTTAGTGTCTGCAGCGACCAGGCAACAACCCCACACTGCTGCTGCGACGAAAGTGCTTTGACTGGTCATCCATATGAAAGTTGTGTAGAAAACTGTTACCTGTTCGATCCAACTGAATGTGCAGCCCAATTGGCGGGTGTACAACCCAGACCTGGGGATGTCTTACCTACCTGCTTTGGTACATGGACACCCGCTTTTTGCAAGGCTGATTGTGATTGCCTGGAGGATCCACATTTCAGGGTGAGGGTTTCATTTGAGTGCTGCTGCCATGGATCGATGATCACTCACCCAATGCTTTCTAATCCTTGCCACAACCTTTCAGACTTGGGCTGGAGAATGGTATGACTATCATGGCCAATGCACTCTTATCATGTTGACCACAAGCAGGTCCAAGCTTGGCCCCCTTGACCTTCATTTGAGGACCAAGATCAGATACCACTACAGCTTCATTGAGAGCGCAGTACTCCGCATTGGAGACAACACTCTTGAAGTTGCTGGCTGGGGGCAATATCTGCTGGATGGAGTATCCCAAGCAGAGTTGCCTGCGACCCTTGGAGGTTTCAAAGTCACTCATAACCAAACCAGTGAAAAAGACCATGACTTCGTGGTGCACACTGGTGGAAATGAACGGATTATCTTGACTACGTTCAAGGACTGGGTTTCTGTCTCGGTCGAGAATGGCTCTTACGAGACTTTTCAAGGCAGTCTTGGTATGATGGGCAAGTACATGAGCGGCAAGCTTGTTGGACGAGATGGCGTTACGGTTTTTGAAGACCACAACGAATTCGGGCAGGAATGGCAAGTTACCGATAAAGATCCACAGCTCTTCCAGGCCATGGATGTGGCACCCCAGTATCCCGAAAAGTGCATTCTTCCGGACCCTGCCAGCAGGGATCAGGTTCGTCTGGGCAGCTCTGTGGCTCGTCAAGCGGCCAAGAAGGCTTGTGATCAGTCGGAACACCACTTTTACAAGGATCACATTGAAGCTTGCATTTTTGACGGTACGTGGTGATGCACGAATGAATGACTTTTGCTTTCCTTCTTTGACTTGCTTGCTGCTTCCAAGAGTGTCCTGACCTACATTGCCTGTTGTTTGCTACTTTTAGTCATGGCCTCTGGTGACGTTGATATTGCTCGAGCTGGATGATTTCAGCTAGTAGTCAGGGCATCCCTGTTGCATATTACAATAACACTTCTAAAGTAGTAGTAGACTCAAGAACTCTATCAATAGCGCCTTTTGCTACTAGTAGTTGCGGGTATAATAGTTGCCTTTTTCTATCTGGCTGGCTGCCAAAGCAACTAGAACCCCCGTAATAATTACTAAACACCAATCCGTACCACTATGGTGCTGACCAATCCAAAACGGACGGGAGTACTTGCGGATCGCTAGCTAGCTAGCTCCACTGACATCTCCATTTTTGCCAAAATGGAAGACCGTTCCACAGGGACTCGGGTGAAATTTTTTTGGCTCCACTGGCCCGCCACACATCAAAAGGCCATGGCGGCTGTAATAAGTAAAAGTCCTCGCGACCAGCAATCTTGCGTTTGTTGTGATGGCGTTTGCCAGATGGCTGGGGACGCCTCAAACTATGCCGTGCATCGGTTGAATCACTGGCGCCAGAACACCCCCTTTGTCGATGACCCCAGTTGGAGTGCACAACTCCATGCTACCATTCAGTCCCAGGATACTATTGGTTGGAAATGCTTCCTTGAAGGCCACGCCACCAAGCTGCTTTCCCGTTACATGGATGCTTATTCTTCTTCCCAGGGCTTCTCCTTCACTGCTGGCAATTCTTGGCTCTACAAAATCCTACGAAGATCTCAGTGTTGAAGTAGTGAAACAAAAGCAATCAGCCTTCGGCGCAGTAGCTCATTAGATATATAAGTTACTAATCATTGTGTGAAACTGAAACTCAAACTTTCCCTACTCTAAAACCCCCTTATAAATGCCGTGCATGATGGATGAAGGAAATGGGATCCGGAGCTGGGGGTGGCTTTGGATGCACTTGCGTCGCAGGGAGGTTGGGTCATATTCTTTGTTGTAACTCGAACCCTCAACTCACCAAGCCTTCCAGTTTCACGAACCGTTAACCTTCGGAAGCTTATTTAAAAGCTTTCGATCCTTTCAGGACGGCAGGTGCACCTCCCGCCAACTCCACGATGGACCCACCCACTCACTCATTTTTCACGATCGAGCAACGACCGAAACCAACCACCTCCTCTTCCGCTTTCTGGTTACATCAACTCTTCCTCTCCCCAATCTTCTCTTCTCTTCTAGCTAGCTAGCTATTGAAACAAACAAACCAACAAAACAAACCCAAAGATGATTGTCTACGCAGTGATTTGTCGTGCCAAAGATGCCGTGGTGTTGGCCGAGCATTCGACGGACGATCTCATGTCGGGCAATGCTCCTCAAGTGACGATTGCTCTATTGCAGCATTTGCGCGATCATCCGGACATGATCAAAGACAAGGAAATGAAGACGTTTGTGCACTCGAATGACCAAGAAGAATCGGATTTGGATGCGTTTTGGTCGGACTTTTTGCACGTGTGTGCCATGGAATCCGAGGAAGTGGCGAACGATGTCATTATTATGGAGTACTACTTTCACTTGTATCTCAAAGACGGAATCTTTTATACTTGTATCTCGGATGATCCCGATACACGTGATCAGAAAGTGTGAGTACGAAACAAACTGACAAACAAACAGAATGCTGCGTATGAGTGTGTTTCTTCTACAAACTCAGCATCGATGTTTTCTTTTGCGCAGCAACTTTGCCTTTTTACAACAAATTCAATCGGAATTTACCAAATCCACACGCTTTCGTCGCGTCAGTGCGGCCAACGCGTATGCCATGGACAAGACGTTTGCCCCCAATTTTCGGTCTTCCATTCACTACTACAATACCAATCACACCCAACTCTTGCAAGATGACAAGATTAAATCGCTCATGACAGCCGTCGAAGATATGAAGGTCGTCATGGGACGCAATATACAACTCTCCATGCAACGCGCGGGGAATTTGGAAAAAATGATCCGACAATCGGAGGAAATGGAAGATCGGACTCAAGTCTTTTACAAAAAGGCCAAAGTCGCCAAGAGACGACGCATTCGGAAACTCTATCGCGTCTATGCCACGCTGGGATTGATGCTACTCACGTTGCTGTATCTGATTATGGCCGTGGCATGTGGATGGAAGCTACAATGTGGGCCACAGCAACAACAAAGTGGTGGTGGTGGTGATGATCCATAAAGATGTGTTTGTGGAACGCACGCTCAACAATTTACTGCCTCTTGCCCCGGGGAAATGGTTGTACGAACGATATCGTCAGCAGCGGCTGTCTTTAGTGCGAGAGAGACTTTGATACGTATCTCTTTCTGTGAGCAAGACCAACAGATTGCACCGGTCCGGTAGGCACCGACCAGCACGCTTGTACAACAACTTACTACCACTACTACTAGAGTAGAATATTTTGCACTATTGTAGCAATCATCCGTCGCCTTTCAAAAAAGTCTCCACCGGGCTCCTATCGTTGTTTGCTCTTTGCTACGGTACGTGCACTACAAACTCCGGCGCTCGCACGAACCGCGTCGTTCCAAGCTACGAGCTAGCTAGATAGAACAAGCACTCCATTGAAGAGGTTGTCGTTTTTCTAACCGGCAACTAGCCCGCATGCATGGTACGGCAACTCTAGCTAGCTGTGCTAGAAAGCTCTAGCCAGTGGACAAGGAAACCGGAAGCTGGCTTCATCCGGAACTGCTTCTTGGTGTACCGATAAATCAGAACAGCTACAAGGCCCTCATGTAGCAAGCCAGGCGCAGTTGCAGCAAACTGTTATGGCTTTGCTATCCAAATGAATACCCGTACGCACAGGAAAAGACAACTACATGCCATGCTAGCTAGCTAGCTAGCGGCAAACATGCACTACGACGCACGTGCAAGGGTTTTAATGTAGGGAAGTTATCTGAATTTGGGACCTTTGAAACTGCTCACCTCAACAGCAACAACAGGAGGCCTCTCTCAATGACATGAAACTAGTAGTTTATAGTGATTGTAACGGAAAGACTTGTTCCAGGCGTACCTCCAATATACGGTATGGCCGCGACCATTATGACTGTACCAGAAGGATCCGAAACTTGGTCCCAAAAAATGCCATAGCTCCATTTGTTGTCACCCAAATTGGAGGCAAAAGTAAAAGAACCATCATTTCGGGACCCCCCACTAACCTGAAAAAACACTTGGGTCACCAACGGATCATGAACATCTGCCCAAATCCCAAGGGAAATGGAGCCGGGATTGGTGATGGTTGTATCCTCTGTTACAAAGTACTTTGCACCATCACCAGGACCTGCATTATGATCATACACACTTAAACCAACAACAGCATTGGAAGAGGATGTTGTAGGAATTGTCGTTGGATCAGAAGAAGGGGATTCTGAAGGAACGGCTGTTGGGGCACCAGTGGTGGGAAATGCAGTTGTAGGGCTTGTAGTTGGATTAGAAGATGGCAAATGAGAAGGTGCCATGGATGGGGCATAAGAAGATGGCACTGTAGAAGGTTCCAATGATGGGACATGAGATGGTGAAATACTTGGTGGGCTACTTGGTTCCGGGGTTTTGGGTGGGCTCGCGGATGGCGAGCTACTTGGTTCTGGGGTTTTGGGTGGGCTCGCGGATGGCGAGCTACTCGGAGACCTGCTTGGAAAGGAACTTGGAGCAGAGCTTGGGGAGGAAGTGGGTGCATTAGTGGGATTCTCACTTGGCAGCTGGCTGGTAGTGGGACTTAAACTTGGAGCTTGGCTGGGAGATTCACTGGGGAGTGGGCAGAGATGACACAAAGGAGACCATGTTACCCCATCAGACTGCAACGTTGGGTCTCCGTGTTCTGAACAAGCACTTCCCGAAAAGGTGCTACCCCACCCTGACCCCTTGCCGCCCCAAGCACACAAATTTTGGTTGAATGCTGTTGCAGCGCTAAAAGTTTGCAACATGTTGGTGACCTTTGAGACATCCCAGCCACTGATGTTTTGGTTGAAGGAATAGTTCTCAAAGAACAAATTCTGCATATCCAAAACGTTTGACACATCCCAACCAGAAATATCTTGATCGAAGGAGTTGGCATTTCTGAACATGTTCGGAAGGTGTGTTACTTTGCTCACTGTCCAGCCACCGATGTTTTGATTAAAGCTGGTAGCTCCACGGAACATGGATGCTGAACGTGCAACTTCCCTGAGATCCCATCCGCCAATGTTTTTATCGAAGGCGGTTGCGTCACGGAACATGGCTTGCATGGAAGTAACTGAACCTGTATCCCACGAAGAAATGTCTTGGTTGAAGAATGTAGCACCCCTGAACATTCTGTACATGTTGGTGATTTTGCTAACATCCCATCCTGTGATGCTATGAGAGAAAGTTTGCATGTCATCACCTGTCCTATCGAAGAAAAATAGATCCTCAAAGGACATTTCTTCAAAGCACCAACTGTGGATAGGCCCATATGTAGCTTCAGCAGTTGGAATATCGAGTAAAGCTGCATCAACACTAAGTCGATCAGAAAAACATTGCTGAACACTAGGTTGCGGACTCAAAGTTGGAGATTCACTGGGGACAGAACTCGGGGTGGTACTGGGACTTCTACTTGGTCTGCTGCTTGGATTGGTGCTTGGGGATAGACTAGGTGGCGTGCTTGTTGCAGCACTCGGTACAGAGCTTGGTGCCTGGCTGTTGCTGGGGCTGAAGCTGGGTAACCCACTGGGTTTTGCACTTGTGGTGGGAGAAACACTTGGGACCATGCTTGGAGCGTTACTGGGCACACAACTCATCGAACACAATGGACCCCAATAGGATCCATAGAGCTGTGGCGTTTCTTTTGATTCACAGCTAGTGCCTAAAAATGTAGAACCACCCATGTCTGCGGTGGGGCTGATGTGATCATTCCAAGCACAAAGATCCTGGTTGAAGACGCTGGCTTGAAAGAACCTGTGAGAAGAAAGAAGCAAATCTTAGGGACGGCACATTGTTTTACTTGATGAATTGGAGCTTGCACAATCACTCACGCTCTGTGGAATGTTGTCACTCCACTGACATCCCAGCCTCCCAGCGACTGGTTGAAGGCATATGCCTTTGCAAAGGTGTTAGCAAGTGATCCAACGCCCGACACGTCCAGTTACCAATGTTGATGTTGAAACTTGATGCGACCTCAAACATTGAACCAATGTGTTCAACACTGGAAGTATCCCAACCAGAGATGTCAGAATTGAAGGCTGTGGCCCAGTTGAACATATTCCAGAATGTGGTGACCTTTGAGACTTCCCAGCTAGAAATATCTCCGTTAAAAGACGAGGATGCATGAAATGTGTTCCACATCAGAACAACATTTCCTGTGTCCCAGTTGTTCAGGTCTTGATTGAAGGCAGTGGCCTGTTGGAACATGCCATTTATGGCAGTTACTTTCGCTGTGTTCCATCCATTGAGCCCTCGGTTAAAGGCAGTGGCAGACATAAAAGTTTGAGCTCATACTAGCACTTCACCAGTTTCCAGCCATTAATGTCAATATTGAAGATACTGGCGCCGTGGAAAGTACTGTCCAAACTTGTAACAAGCGCCTGTGTCCCAGGAACCAATGTTTGATTGAAGGCCTGAGCACCAAAGAAGGTATTTTGCAAGGTTGAGACTTTTCTAGTATCCCACAGACTAATGTCTCCATTGAAGGAAGTCGCTTCATAGAAAGTACTTCCAAGTGTAGAGACTTGGCCAATATCCCAATTTGTCAATGCTTGATTGAACCCTGATGCTCCTTGGAACATGCTTTCAAGATTTGATGCCCTTGCAGTGTTCCAACCCCCAATATTTTGGTCAAATTGAGCTGCACCATAGAACATGCCCTCAAAAGATTCCACATTGGAGGTATCCCTGGTGTATCAATGAAGGAGGACTGATAAGGAAATGGTAACGT